TCAATCCAAGTCACTCGTACCAAAATCCTCTCTTGCCCTTGCCTGGCCAGTGCCTTTGCAATTTGGGTATCAAGGTTAGTTTGACTTCTTGGGGCTGCCCTGGTGGTGCAGTGGTTGAGAATCTGCCTGCCAATGCAGGGGACACGGGCTCGAGCCCAGGTCTGGGAAGATCCCACATGCCGCAGAGCAACTAAGTCCGTGCACTACAACTACTGAGCCTGCGCTCTAGAGCCCGCGAGCCACAACTACTGAGCCTGCGTGCCGCAACTACTGAAGCCCGTGCGCCTAGAGCCCATGCTCCACAAGAGAAGCCCCCGCTCTCTGCACCTAGAGAAAGCCCGCGTGCAGCAACGAAGACCCAGTGCAGCCAAAAATAAATAAATTTATTAAAAAAAAAAAAAAGCCCACACACCTCAACAGTGTGACTTTTCTAGGCCAGTGCTCTTTTCAGTTTTTAGGACCACGACTCATTGTGACACAGTTCATAAACACACAGATACAGTCCTTTTTGCCACTTCAAATGACATATTCACAAGTTCCAGGGATTTGGATGTGGACATCTGGGCAGGAGGGTGAGGGGCATTTTTCTGTCTACTACATGTTCTATAGTTTTATTACATTTGACTTTCAATCAGTCCGTTTGTTCAGCTCTCAATATCACCCTGAGCTGCCTTTTGGAAGCTGAATTCTGTCTGATTTACACACCTCAAAATTTTGGCTGTTTCATGGTAGTACATGTGTGTAGTGTGTTGGCTGCCGGAGCTGGCTTTCCTTAGTCTTTCATGGGAACTCACCAGAGACAGGTCCAACAGGGATGATCTTATTATCTTGACTCCATGGATTCCTTTGCCCTAAGAAACTTGATTATGGAGAACTGTAGGTCAGGTGGGTCCTCTGAATATAGCTCTGTAAAGTTCCTCATGAGCTCAAGAAAGGATGTAGTTGTCTGGTGATAGTCATTCATTCAACAAGTATTTTTTGAGTGCCTACTAAGTGCCAGGTGCTGTTCTAGGTGTTGAAGACACAGTAGTGAACAAAACAGACAAGGGTCTGCTCTCATGTGGTTTACATTCTACTGGGGAGATAGACAATAAGCCAAATAAAAGCCAAAGAAAGGGACTTCCCTGGTGGCGCAGTGGTTAAGAATCCGCCTGCCAATGCAGGGGACGTGGGTTCAAGTCCTGTTCCGGGAAGATCCCACATGCCGCGGAGCAACTAAGTCCGTGCGCCACGACTACTGAGCCTGTGTGCTGTAACTACTGAAGCCCGCATGCTAGAGCCCATGCTCCGCAGCAAGAGAAGCCACTGTGATGTTCTCATCGCGCACCACAACGAAGAGTAGCCCCTGCTCGCTACAACTAGAGAAAGCCTGTGCACAGCAAAGAAGACTGAACACAGCCAAAAATAAATAAAATTTTTAAAAAAAATGCTTAGTCTGACTTCTTGAGCCACCAAGAACCTCCATAACCCTCTGTTTTATATTCATACTGCACCTTGAATGATAATGAAACAATAATAATGGAATCATAATATCTACAGTGGCTGTAGGCCCCTGAACGCAGGAGCCCTATTGCTGGGGATATATGTTTATGTATAGCTGATTCACTTTGTTATACAGTAGAAACTAACACAACATTGTAAAGCAATTATACTCCAATAAAGATGTGAAAAAATAAAATAAAATAAAACTCAAAAAACAAAGTTTGTGTTGAATAAATACAGGGTTGCCCAACGCCTGCACAGCGAGTACTCTTGTGAACCTCTTGCCCTTAGAGATGGAGAAACCGAGGTAGAGAATTCATGCCCTTCCTGGGAGCCCACAGCTGAGGTGGGCAGAGGGGGATTGGAACCCAGGATGTGATGTTCGGGGACCCTGGCTCCCTGCCATCCTTCAGCCCAACCCCTACTTAACAGACCTGAAAGTGGCCGTCACCTGCATGAGGCTAGCTGCACAGAAGTGGGAAGCAGTACAGAAGAGGGGCACACTGCGTGTCACGGGCCCAGGTTGGAATCCTGACTGTGCCACACGTAAGCTCGGGGACTCTGGGTGAGAGACGAACTTTCCCTGGCCTGTAAAATAGCCTGGCACCTGCTTCAGAAGACTGCTGTGGATAAGCAGTGAGGCCCCATGGGAGAGGTACCAGCGGGTGGACCATTACTAGTAAGCAGTGACTGTGAGTCTAACCCCCTCTGCAATGGTACTGACCCTAAAGAGGGTCCTGCACGGACACCTTCTGCACTTCCTCAAACACTGATCCGTGTTCTCTTGAAATGCAGCCGCCATGCTGTGAGGAAGCCCACCTATCCTTCAGGAGAGAGGCCACATGGAGTGGACCTAAGTGTCCCAACAAAGCTCTCCATTGAAGGCAGCTGCATGAGAGACCTCAGATGACCTCTCATGGAGAGGAGGACCACCCAGTCAATCCCTATAACTTAGAAACCATACATTCTGCAGTTGAAGCCGTTCTGTTTCAGGGTGGTTTGTTACACAGCATTAAGGTGGCAGTTCCCTGAGAGGTGGAGGCTTGTCTGTTTTGCCCCCTACTGTGTCCTCACTGCCAAGGACATTTCTTGGTAGATAGTAGGTATTCTATACATATTTGTTGAAGGAAGGGAGGGAGGGAGGGAGGGAGGGAGAGAGGAAGGAAAGGATTTTCAGAACTTCGTGTCCTGGACTGATGTCCATGAAATGTAAGGGAAGCCAGTAACTACCCACCAGCCTCTATGTATGTATCTATAGCGTGTGTTTAGGTGGCGGCTGTACATATATGTATACAGACACCCCTTGGAAATATGGAGGGTTTGGTTCGAGACCACTGAAGTAAAGCGAATATTGCAATAAGTCGAGTCACACAAGTTTTTTGGTTTCCAAGTGCATGTAAAATCATGTTTACACTATACTGTAGTCTATTTATTAAGTGTGCAATAGCATTATGTCTTAAAAAATGTACATAGCTCAATTAAAAATACTTTAGTGCTGGGGCTTTCCTGGTGGTCCAGTGGGCAAGACTCCACGCTCCCAGTGCAGGGGGTCCAGGTTAGATCTGTGGTCAGGGAACTAGATCCCGCATGCATGCCGCAACTAAGAGTCCACATGCTGCAACTAAGAAATCCATATGCTACAGCTAAAAAAGGTCCCGCGTGCCGCAAAGAAGATCCCGCGTGCCGCAACTAAGACCTGGTGCAGTCAAAATAAATAAATAAAATAAATATTAAAAAAGAAAAAACTTTAGTGCTAAACAATGTTAACCATCATCTGAGCCTTCAGCGAGTTATAATCTTTTTGTAATAATAACATCAAAGATCAGTGATCACAGATCACCATAACAAATGTAATAATAATGAAAAAGTTTGAAATATGGCACGCACTACCAAAGTGACACAGAGACATGAAGCGAGCAAATGCGATTGGAAAAATGGCGCTGATGGACTTGCTGGATGCAGAGTTGCCACACTTGCAAAAATCGCAATATCTGCTGAAGTGCAAGAAAGCAAAGCACAATAAAACGAGGTCTGCCTGTAGATACTACTATCTCATTACATAACCAGGGCCTGGGATGCCAGAAGTTTCTTGATGGAGGATTGTCCCGCAGCCCCATGACTTTTGAACATTTTGCCAGACACGCACGTAGCTGTAAAACTTGTTTATAGGTAGCTGAGCCCAGGACATGTTTTGCTTATTAACCGTGGAGTTGGAGGTTGCACGTGGAGCCCAAGGCTGCATATTGGTATGTGGACAGGATGCTCCCTTGTGACCACAGGGAAGGTGCATGGGTATCCAGAGCTGAGGGTGAAACGCTGGAAGCTCCCTGGACGCCCCGCCATCCACGGGCTCTGCATTGGGCAGGAGATACTCAGCGTAAACTAAAGGATCTCTTCCAACATCCTTCCAGCCTCTATCACCAAGGTTACCTGTGGCCTCTGCCATCAGACTGAGAGCCCTATGGGGTGGGGACTGAGGCCAGGCCACTCTTAAGCTGGTCCCCTGGCACAAAACAAGGAGCCTTGGTAAATTTTTAAAAACTGTATTATGGAAATTAAATTTAACAACATGCAGAAAAGTAGACAGACTAGTACAATAAAGGCCCACATACCCATTGTTGTTTTCAACGCTCTACCAGTCTTGGGCATCTATACCTCACCCAGGCTTCCTCATTCAATCTGTAAACATTTCATGGTGCTCCTCCGACCGGTGAGAATATTTAAAAATATATAACAAACCCCATGCTGTTACTAGATCTAAATATTAACAGTAATCTCTGAATATCACATAATACCCAGCCTAAATTATAATTTCCTGGAGAGTCTTAAAGCTGTGTTTTTTCTTTGAACCACGACCAACACACCCTCATGTAAAAGTGAAAATCCACTGGTCCGTGCCCTAGAGCCCACACATAACAGCACCCTTTGCTTTGGGTTTTTTTTTTTTTTTTTTTTGGACACACCACGTGGCACACAGGATCTTAGTTCCCCGACCAGGGATTGAACCCGTGTCCCCTGCAGTGGAAGCTCAGAGTGCTAACCACTGGACCGCCAGGGAATTCCCAGCACCTTTTGCTTTGTGTGTGATGATGGCTAATACTCACTACATGTGTATGTGTGCCAGGAGCTGGGTTTTTTAAGAAACAGCTTTACTGAGCTATAATTCGCATACTATAAAATTCACCCATTTAAAGTATACAGTTCAAAGAGAGTAAATCCTAAGAGTTCTCATCATAGGAAAAAGAAATTTTTTTTTCTATTTCTTTAATTTTGTATCTCTCTGAGATGCTGGATGTTCACTAAGCTTATCGTGACAATCACTTCATGATGTATGTAAATCCAATCATTCTGGTGTACATCTACAATTTATACAGGGCTGTATGTCAATTACATCCCAATAAAACTGGAAGAAAAATAAATAAAGTACACAACTCAATGGTTTTGAGTGGCTTGGAGATCAGTGACTTCCAAATCGGAATGGATTCAGAGCTCTGCACCCACCCCTACTTTCATTTTAGAACATGTTCATCGCCCAGTTAAGCAATCGTGGCAAGGAAGGTCTCCATTCACTCAGCCCTGGATGGAATGTACTTCACGTGCTGACTCAGAGGACACATGACTCTGTGGGTAAGTGCACACACCCTCTGGCCACGGGCTGCTGATTTCAGCTTCCCACACTCAGTAGCTGTGTGATCCTGGGCAAGTGACTTCACCTCTCTGAGGGTTAAAACAACGCCTGGCCAGAGAACCACATATTGTAGGAAATGTCCAGAAAAGGCAAGTCCATAGAGACAGAAAGCAGATTGGTGGTTGCCAAGGGCTGCGGCACTTAAGAGGGAATGCGGAGGCTTTTCTTTCAGTGGCCATGAGGAAGGGGCCTTATCTGGAGCCTGTGAGCAATAAAACTGTGGATCTCCTGCGCTCTAGCTGAGCTGCGAAATGAACCTTATTTAGCAAACCCAGCCTCCCCGGCCCAAGAGGGTTGTCCCATCCAGGAATCTATTTCTGGCTGGGCTGAAATAAACACATGGAGGCGACCCAAGGGACCCAGCCCCATCTGGGTTGGTTCAGTCCAGGCACATAGTTAGACAAGCCTGAGTCTCTTCTGGAAAGATAACGCTCATGCGATCTTAATGGGCTCTGAGCGTTTCAGGGACTTATAAATTCAAAGCAAGGATATCGCTGTAAGGTCACTCCTGTGCCAAATCTGTGTAGCTTCTGGCAGCTTCCCAGGTTCAACCAGGCCCCACCCTGCTTGACTCAGCCCCACTGTTCTCTTAACGGCCCCTGGGTTCCAGGCTCTGACCAGGAACACAGATCCTGGGCCAAGGCATCTGTGCACATGCTGGCTGTAACCTGTTTGTGTGCTAAGCCAGAAGCACTGACCCGGAGATTGTTCCGTCCGTTGAGTAAATACACATTAAACGTTGTATTCGTTTCGTGGGGCTGCTATAACCGCGTACCACAAACTGGGTGGCTTCAAACAATAGGAGATTATTCTCTCACCTTCCCGGAGGCCCAACGCCAATCTCTACCTCCGTCATCATGGGCGTTCTGTGTGCCACCTGTCGTGCTGGAGTAGGGCCCACCCTATTCCAGTGCGACCACATCTTAACTAATTACATCTGTAAAGACGCTTTTCCCAGATGTCACATCCTGAGGTGCTGGGAATTAGGATTTCAACATCTCTTTTAGGGGGACACAATTCACAATTCAACTCATAACAAACGCACACGATGTGCTGACGCTCTCTGGAGCGCTGGGCTATGAGAGCTCTGTCTTCAGAGACCCTAAGTAGTCCCTGTCCTTCTGGGCGTCCTTGTATCCCCTCTGGTGAGGAATAAGGGGAAGGTGTCGAAGGGCTTGCTACCTTCTTGTTTGGGCTTGCAAATCCAGGAAGGAGCTTAGTAAATATTTCTTGAATGAATTAGTGTAATTTATTGTTGGCGGCTGGCCAGTTCCTGCTTTGGCCCTGATAAAATAAAAGATATAAACTTCCTTGTCCACCAAGGCTCTTCAAACACAGGGAACAGAGCTGGGTCACCCAAGCTTCTAGGTTAAACAGAGCTCAATAGAATATATCGAGCTACTCCATTCAGCTCCTGGAGGCAGCTGGTGCCTGTTCTGTCCACCGGCAGGGCCCTTTCTGGGTGCAGACCTCCTGGGAGGTAACAAGAGAGGGTGGCTGTGAGCACGGGTCTTCTGAATCTTCCCCCAGCACCTAAAGGTCCCCAGGATGTGCAAGAAAAGATGTGCAAGAAACTAGCGCCCAGCTTCCCACCCGTGGGTGCTGTGACAGCTCCACAGATTTCATCTTCATCCTCCAAGTCGGGTCTGTGAGAAATGTCACCTCTCTTCATTATTTTCTGTGAGTCAATTTGATTTTGACTGAGAACAAGTCCTCATTCCACTAAGCTGGCCAGAAATTCAGCTAGTGGTTTCAACGTCAGAGCAATGTGGGCATTTCAGATTCAACGTGGGAATTTCTGTGTGTAGTACCAAAATCCTGGAGGCATCACTCAGACTCCCAGCAGGAGATGGAACACTCATAAGAGGTGACATGAGAGGAGTTAAATAGGATAATTTACCAAGATGTGGGTAGGGTGTAGGGAAAACAATGAGAGACAATACAGCTCCCAGGGGCTAGCAACTGTGGGGAGCTGTTACCACCTCTAGATCAGCCGGGATGGATCTGGGACAATAAATGCCCCAGCTTCACTCTCCTTCCTCTTCCGATTTCTGGACTGTGATCCCACTGACCCAAGCCAACAGGAAGGCATAGGGCAGGGGAGCTCACAGATGCTGTGTTGGTCAGTTTGGGCTGCCGTAACAAAAATACCCCCACCTGGGTGGCTTAAACAACAGAAATTTCTTCCTCCCAGTTCTGAAGGCTGAGAAGCCCAAGACCTGCTGATTCAGTTCCTGATGAGAACCCACTTCCTGGTTTGCAGATCAATAAATGTTTGTTAAATGAATTAGTGCAATTTATTTTGGTGGCTGGTCAACTTGCACATTTGCCTTTATAAAAATTAAACGTTGGCAGAGAGAAGACATCTCTCTCATGTCTCTTATAAGGGCACCAATCCCATTTACGAAGGCCCCACTGTTACAATCTAATCCCTCCCAAAGGCCCCACCTCCAAATACCAACACATTGAAGATTAAGGCTTCAACATATGAATTTGTGGGGGACACAAATATTCAGGCCACAGCAGATAACATCAGACAGCCTCCCAGGGCACAGAACAGGGGGAGAACATTGGAGATGAGATTTGGAGGGGCAACAGGAAGAGACCTAGCACTTGAGTATTTTATTGAAATGTGAGATACAGTTGCCATCCACTTCTATACTCTGATGTTGTTACACTTTTTCTTTTTTTTTTTTTTGGCCATGCTCTGTGGCATGTGGTATCTTAGTTCCCCAACCAGGGATTGAACCTGGTTCCAATGCACCTGCTGCATTGGAAGCACAGAGTCTTAACCACTGGACTGCCAAGGAAGTCCCGGATGGTGTTGTTACACTCGACAGACAGCCAGGGGTCAGGTCTGAGGTTCCTCTATCCTTCTGGCTTGAATCTCTCCCAAAGAGTTAATTTGGGAAAAGATCTTGGCTAAGGTAAATTATCCTGAGAAGGGGCTGGTCCTGAGAGAATGGAGGAAAAAAGGGAAAGGGAGTAAAACCTGTCTGACTCTAGGGGGTAGGGCTGGGAATGGAGGCTGGGAGCTGTTATGGGCTGAACTGTGTCTCCACAAAAATTCCTATGTTGAGGTCCTAACCCCCAGAACCTTAGAATGTGATTGTATTTGGAGACAGGATGTTTACAGATGTAATTAAATTAAAATGAGATCATTAGGTGGGCCCTAATTCATTATGACTGGTGTCCTTACAAGAAGAGGAATTCTGGACACATACACGTACAGAGGGAGGACGTAAAGTCATAGAGAGAAGTGGTCATCTGCAAGCCAAGGAGAGAGGCTCGGAGCAGATCATCCCCTAAGAGTACTCAGAAGGAACCAGCCCTGCCGACACCTTGATCTCAAACTTCAAGCCTATAGAACTATGAGATAATAAATGTCTGTGGTTTAAGCCACCCCATCTGTGGTACTTTGCTACAGCAGCTCTAGCAAACTAATACAGCAGCTTCCAATATGGCCTGAAATAATCTTCACCTCCTGGTATCATACCCTTGTGTAGTCCCCTCCCACATTCAATCAAGCTGCTCTGTGTGATGGACAGGATATGACAGAAGCGACATTGTGTGACAAGGTAAGGCTCCGTTGTAAAGGGCATTGCAGTTTCTACCTTGGTCTCTTGGGTTTCTCTCTGTGGAGGAATCCAGCCGCCATGCTGTAAGGACACTCAAGCAGCCCCAAAGAGATCCACGTCAAGAGGATGTGACCAACAGCCAAGAGCCAGCAACAATTTGCCAGCCATGGAAGTGGATCCCCAGCCCTAGTAAAGCTTTCAGATGACTTACCCGACACCTGACAGCAACCTCACTGGATATCCCAAACAGAACCACTCAGGTAAGCCACTCCTGAATTCCTAACCCACAGAAACTCTACGCGATAATAAATTCCTGTTGTTGCTTTAAGCTAATAAGTTTTGGGGTCATTGTTTCACAGCAACAGACAGCTAACACAGAACCTCCCTCCCCATCTCCCCTCCCCTTCAGGCCCTGCTCCTGCTTGGTTTGTTTTTTCATTCTATTTTATTTTTCTAATATTTATTTTATTATAATATTTTATAATTTATTATTTTATTATAATATTTATTTTATTTATTTCTAATATTTATTTATATTTCTTTTATTTGGCTGCGCCAGGTCTTAGCTGTGGCACACAGGATCTTCGTTGCTGTGTGCGGGATCTTCGTTGTGGTGTGTGGGATCTTCGTTGTGGCATGCAGGATCTTTTAGTTGTGGCATGTGAACTCTTAGTTGCGGCATGCATGTGGGATCTAGTTCTCTGACCGGGGATCGGACCCGGGCCCCCTGCATTGGGAGTGCGGAGTCTTAACCACTGCACCACCAGGGAAGCCCCCATCTCCTGCTTTAACATCCCCCTACCCTTAACCCCACACCATGATGACACCATCAAGGACTTAAGAAGTAAACTGGGGCCCAAAATGGCTCTGGGGAGGTACAATATTACTAATATGTGAAAGGAAAGGTGTTCAACTTCACAAGTATGCCAAGAAATGGGAATTCAAATAAATAAGATACTTAGAGAGGGTTTGCAAACAGGAAAGAGATGTGACTGAAATGTTTTCTAAACCAGTGCACCTATGTTTGGTGTAAAATTTAAATGAACATAAATAATTGTGTGTGAAAATTTTTTTAATATACAAAAAGGAGTAGTATGTCAATAAAAATATTGGTTACCTCCATACTTTAAAATATACCAAACACAGGAAAATGAGTATTGTAATCACTTAATCCAACTTTTGTCCATATTGGGGTTTCTCACAGTGGCATTGGGTCCTGAGGGCACAGGCAGTGCCAAGGTGTCAGGTCACCTGTCCACACAGGTGACTGCTGACATGGCCATGGCACGGTCTCTGAGGCCCCTGCCCCTCTGTGGTCAGCCTGCTGCTTCGATGACATGTGGGCTCTGGGCATCTTTGCTGCTGCGGACCAAGGCCTGGTGCTGAGTTCCTGCCCTCACTGTGAGGCCCTCCCATGCCCCATCCTCAGTCTGGGGACGCCCCCTCCCCGCCAAAGTTATCTCCCTGAGATTCATGCTCTCAAATCCTCTTTTCCCTCACATTCTTTCATGATAAGGCCCCATTAAACCCAAAGCCTGAATTCTTTTTTTGTTGTTGTTGTTTTTGCGGTACGTGGGCCTCTCACTGTTGTGGCCTCTCCCATTGCGGAGCACAGGCTCCAGACGCGCAGGCTCAGCGGCCATGGCTCACGGGCCCAGCCGCTCCGCAGCATGTGGGATCTTCCTGGACCGGGGCACGAACCCGTGTCCCCTGCATCGGCAGGTGGACTCTCAACCACTGCGCCACCAGGGAAGCCCAAGCCTGAATTCTTAGCTGCCAAAAATACCCAGCTCCTCTTTACTTGAAGGCAGGAAGAGTTTCATCGCCAAACCCTCCAAGGAGGCAAGTACCAAGTATTTGGACTGCATGCTCCCGGATCTATAAAGAAGGAGAGGGCAAAAATACGTTTCCATTTCAAAGCAGTCCAAATGTCCAGGGCATGCCAACCACATACATGTTAGTGGTCCACACTTACCACCTGTTTCCAAGACACTACATGAATTCGTTGCATTCTCACGAGGAGCTGCATTATGTTCTTTTTTTCAGGTGGCACACTAAGGCACAGAGAGGTTAAGTCACTTATCCAAAGTCACCCAGCTAGGAAGCAGAGCAGCCTGGATTTAAACTCAGGTGTGAAAGCCCATGCGCTGCACCCCACACACTGCTGTTGGGCCCAAGGGTGAGGCAGGGACATGAGCGGGGGGCTAGGGGCCATTCTCTCTAGCCTGCCCCGGGTTGGCTGCGGTACCTACCCACTTCGGCAGGAAGGCCACCTGGTGCTTAAAGACCACGTGAAAGGGGGAGTTGGGCAGGTAGATGGTGTTCCCACCCGTGAGGCAGGTGGCCCAGATCCCAAAGGTGCCCACGGTGATGATGGTGTGGTTACGCTGCGCGAGTAGTGCAAAGTCCCTGGCGGGCGAGCCCTGCAGGCCGTTGTCGGCAAACACCACGTCCCGGAGGGAGCTGTTGACGTTCTGCCGGCACCAGGCCATGTCGTCGCTGGTGACCACGAAGAGTGGGCTGCGGTAGCGAGCCCGGAACCAGTCCAGGGCCTGCTGCAGGTAGCCCCGGTCGGCCACCACACCCTTCCACACGTTGGGCATAACGTGGACGTAGTCCCCCCGGCGCACGTGGACCCCTACGTAGGTGCTCGGCCGGCTCCCATTCACCTGCAGACCCCGCAGAAAATTCTGGGCCTCCTCGCGCACGTGGTCGTGCAGGGTGAACTCCTGGAGGATCTCGGCGCGGAGGTGGTGGTAGAAGGTCCAAGAGCAGGGGTAGCCGGTGAGGCGCACGTACTCTCCCGGGATGTGTCGGTACCGCTCTCCCATCCAGTCGTTCAGGGGGTAGTTCTGCCAGGGGATCCTGCTGGCCGTGGTGTCGTGCAGGACGGGGAGGGTGATTCTGAAGATGGGGGCCAGCGTGCTGTGCATCTGGGGCGGGATGAAGGCCGGCCGCCCATTCATCTTGGCCAGGGCATACTCCCCCATCTGGTTCCCCAGGCGGCCTTTGGAGTTGATGGTGGACATGCCCCCCAGGGCAGGTGTCTGGGGTACAGGACCACGCGGCCCGGGTAGGCCCAGGGGGCGGGCACCCGGGCCAGGCGCTGGAGGCAGTGGAAAATGGTGGACCCGGCAAAGATGACAAAGAGGAAGTAGATGGTGGACAAGGAAGGGCAAATAGCCCAGAATCTCATGGTGGCTGCGGGGAGGAGAGATGACTTAATTCAGGAGGGATGGGGCATGAGTTCATTTGCTCACCCCACCCCAAACCACTTGTTCATTGGCTCACTCAGCCCATCCAGGCATGTCTAATGGCCTCCACCGTGGAGGCCTTAGAGCACAGACCCTGGACCCCTCTGGCCTGGGTTTAAATCCCAGCTCCACCCCTTACCAGCTGTGTGACTTTAGTCAAATTACTCCTGAATCGCAGTTTCCTTGCCCATTAAAAAACAATGACTGAGGGCTTCCCCGGTGGCGCAGTGGTTGAGAGGCCGCCTACCGATGCAGGGGACACGGGTTCGTGCCCCAGTCCGGGAAGATCCCATATGCTGCAGAGAGGCTGGGCCGGTGAGCCATAGCCACTGAGCCTGCACGTCTGGAGCCTGTGCTCCGCAACGGGAGAGGCCACAATAGTGAGAGGCCCGTGTACCGCCAAAAAAAAAAAAAAAAAAAAAGCGATGACTGAGTTGAACCATTTGAGAGTGCCAATATTCAACCATATTTTTCCTACACAAACAGCCGTTTCATATACTCCAACCTAACAGAACTACCTCATCTGTAACATTTTTAGAACAGTGCCTAGCATACAGGAGGCACTCTGTATAAGTCTTGGAAAATAAAGACTTCTAGAGTATTTACTACATGCATCCCTGGGAGCTCACGAATCTATTGAGGCTGCATATACACAGGTTCAGAACCTAGACTGTGAGGCTAGACAAGCCCAGGTTCGTGTGCAGACTCTGCCTCCTGCTGGCCAACCCGGAGCATGTTAGTTAACTCCCTAGGGCTCAGTCTTCTCCATAAAATGGGGCTAACCATACCCCCTGCACGCCGGGCTCCCGGAAGGGCCCCTGCCATGGCAAGCGCTAAGTGCTTCCCGCTACCATCAGTGGATGCGGTGGACTCAAGCTGCTGCAGAGTCTTTGACGCTCCTTCCCTGACTCTGGGTGGGCCTGTGACTGCCTTGGCCGATCACATAGGGCAGAAGTGACACTGTGCCATTTCCGGACCAGGACTTAAGGGTCCGCCAGTTCCCACCTCCTGCCTCTGTAACACTCTCTCTGCGTTGCCACCTCTAGCTGCCTAGATTTAGCTTTTTTTATAGTTAGGTCTCCGATGAGCCCTTCTTCTTCTTTCTTGTTGGTAACCACTTTATTGAGATAATATTCAAATAGCATACAATTCTCCCATTTAAAGTGTACGGCAGCTTTTAGTATATTCACAGAGTTGGGCAACCATCACAATTAATTTTAGAAAAGTTTTATCACCCCCAGAAGAAACCCTGCGCCCCTTAGCCATCCCCACCCCCAGTCTTCCCATCCTCCCCGCCGCCTCCCTCCAGCTAACCTACTTTCTGTCTCAGTGGATTTACCTACTCTGCGTGCTGCATATAAATGAATCACACAGTAAGTAGTCTTGTGACTGGCTTCTTTCACTCAGTGTCAGATTCTCAAGGCTCATCCACGTTGCAGCATGTCTTAGGATGTCACTGATTTCCTTTTACAGCCGACTAATATTCCACGGCATGGATAGGCCTCGTTTTATCTATCAGTTCATCTGTTGTTAGACATTTGGGTTGTTTCCACTTTGGGGAATTATGAATAATGCTGCTATGAACATGCGCGTCCAAATCCCCGTGTGGACCTAAGTTTTCATTTCCTTCTGGTGTTTGCCCAGGAGTGGAATCGCTACGTCGCGTGATAACTAACTGTGTTTAACGCTTTCAGGAACTGCAGGCTGGCTTCCGAGCAGCTGCCTCATTTGCCGTTCCCACCGGCAGCGTATGAGGGCTCTGACTTCTCCACATCCTCGCCAACACCCACTACTGTCTTGTGGACCGCAGTGGGCGTGCCATGCTAGCTCAGTGAAGGCTACACTTTTGAACCTACCCAGACTCCCTCCAGCTCCTGCCTCTGCCTGGGCTCCATGAACCTCAGTTTCCCCATCCTTGTAATGGGGTGGAGAATCCCTTCTTCAGGGGTTGCTTCTTTTTCAGTCCATCTCTCCTCCAGCTCTCCCCTGGGCTCCCAGAAATGGTCTTTTCACGCTGGGTCTCCAGTGTGTCCTGACCCGCTGTGTCCTCTCCCCTCCTCTGTTCCCCTGACCAGGCAGCTGTGGTTTCCCTGTGGCTGTCCCAGTGCCTGCAGCTCAGGAGACCCCCAAGGCCCCTACAGAAGCCCTGGATTGTGTGGCCCCCGCTCTTCCTCATCTGGCTTCCATCTCACCCCCTCAGGCTCCCCATCTCTCCCTCCACTGGCCCCCTTAAATGTCAGGGCTCTGTGGGCCTCACCTCCACTCTCCGCCTCCTCTTCCTCCTATATTCCAGGGCTCCTCACTTTATTAATCTGACCCCTGTGGGAAATCTGAACATTCTTGGGCCCTCCTCAAGGGTCTCACATTCAACGTGGGTTCCCAGTGAGGTCAGCTGACTCTTACCACATGAAGCATATGTTACGCTCCCTCCCCTGAGATGTACAAGAAATGCCTTGCTCGCTGCTTTAGTCTCCAAAAAGCAAACTAAATCTGCCCCTGAGCCCCTCTTCTCGCTGGGCTGGTGACAACTCTGAGCCAATCCTTATCACACAGCCTGTCCAGCTCAGGCCCTGCCTGGGGTCCTGCGCAGAGGAAGACTCAAGCTTCCGCCTCTGGTCAGCTCAGGCAGCTCAGCCAGAGCCCCAGGCCGCTCTCAAAGCCCGCAGGCAAGCTGAGCAGGGACTGGAGCCAGGGCTACTGGGGAGGAGAAACCAGCTGAGGACAGAGGTACCCACCCAGGGTCACCTCCACGATGTGCGACTCGTGCAGTTGCACAGGGTCCCTGCTCTGCTCTAGCCGTCTAGAAAGTCTCCATAAGCGAGAGCAACGCAGCCCGGGTTTTCATTTTGCACTGGGCTCTGCAAATCAGGTAGCCCAGTCTGGCTGCCACCTCTGTCCTCCAGTCTCAAGAGCTCCCTCTCCTGGCCTCTCATGAGCCTACACAACTGAAAAGCCACGGGAAGTAATGAACCAAAGCTGGTGCTTCTGTGGTTCCTGACTCAAGCCAGGCACTGGTTTCAGCGCTTATATCCTGGTCCACAGTTCCTTACTGACCATTTTCATGAAGATTGCTGGCAAACCCCAACCTGAGTTGAATTCACTTGGGGACAAAATCTGAACCGACGTGCCGCTATTCATAGACTTCATTTATTTTGGAGCAAACGCCCATGTGTTCTGCTTGCAGAAACAATAATGTTTGATTATGGGATGCTGCCCAGACCCTGCCGGGGGAGTTGTAAAATATAAAATATAATCTGTGCACCCCATGATGGTGTCAAAACACCGGTTCTGCGGCATGTCTGGTCCACAGAGTTTCAGATATTAGACCGTAGGCCTATCTTCACTCATTTGGTCTTTGTGATCTCCCATGAGGAAGGTACTTTTTTATGCCAATTTAACAGAAGAGGAAACTATGACACAGACAGGTTAAGAAACTTGCTTTGGGTCACGCAGCTAGGAAAGGCGTGGGGCCTGGATTTGAAACCGGTGTGGTTCGGGAATCTGTGCTCATAATCACGATCCTGGATTTTTCCACTATGTCCTGAGGAAGGGATACTCAGCTGCGCACTCCCAGTGCAGTTATTCAGGGCCTTCGACATGCCCTGCCTCCTGGGGCCTCTGTGATTGCTGCGTCACCGAGATAGGGATGAAAGATGTCTCTGGAAGCCCAGCGGTGTGGGTCCCACCCTGCTGAGCCCACCTCAGAGCTGTGGCCCTGGGAGGTCCTGCCTCTGGGGCGCTGTGAGGGTAAAGGTGCCCCATACTTGAGGAACTGCCCCTTCCCCCCAAAGTCTCCTCCCCAACTCGGGGAGTTGTTTCCTCTCTGCCCTCTGCTTCTACCCCCCCACCCCAGGCCCCTTCAGGGGTGATAATCGCCTCAGGCAGCTCAGACTACTAAAAGCAAAAGTGAGACAGCAAGCTTCCCTCCAGGGAATATTAGCTTAAGAAACTTCTAGTCCCTGGGGTGGGGGGAGGGGGTGGTGGTGGATAAAGTGAGACCTAAACCTTCTTCCTGAGTTTTCTCTGACAGCAAAATTAGCCTTTGCACTGGCCACTCCCTGTGCCTGGGTCCTCCTGCCCCGATGCCCACGTGGGCATCTTGCCCTCACCTCCTCCAGGTCTCAGCCCAAATGTCCCCCTGACCCCCGCCCCCCAAACTACTTCCCTCCTTGCTTTTGCTCCAAAGCATTTGTCACCTTCCATCTTTCTCTAGAACATGACGACTTACTACTTTTTTGTCGCGATCTTGCTTTCTGGACTGTGAGCCTGGCAAGGACGGGCTGCTGTGCGTGTTCGTGCGCTCAGCAGAGTGTCGGACACACAGTAGGAAGTCAGTGAGCACCAGCTGAATGGATCAGCGCGCGGGTACTGCACTAGTTACCCTGTGCATCACGCCGCCCGCCCGCCCGCGATCTCACATGTCCCCCTCTGACTTGGTGGCGTCTCCTTCTCCTGCAGCTAACTCCTCCTCCTCGCGGCTTACCCGTGTCCCCACCCTGCCTCCTGCCCCCGGGGCTGCCTCTCCACTGCCGGCTGTGAGGGTCACCCAGAACCAGAATCAAGGGTAGCCTTGGCTGTGCCCTCCCGCCCCAGACACTGGCTCCCCAAATCCCTGTCAGGGTCGGGCCCACGCTGTGCCACAATCAATGCACTCGAGGCCACAGCAGCAAATGTGGTGCCCCATCCTCCTGAGGCCCTTGCTTTTCTCAGGGGGAAGTGAAGAAAAATGTTATTTTTCTAGTCAAAACTATTCGGATAAAAAAAAAAAACAAACCATTCGGATATGTAAT